GGGGTGGTGGTGGTGAGTGGGTGGCAAGTTGCGGGTGGGGGTGACAGGTGGTGGTGGGGGGTGGGTGGTAGTGGCAGGTGGGTGGGTGGTGGGTGGGAGGTGGTGGTGGTAGGTGGGTGAGTGGTGGTGGCAGGTGAGTGGTGAGTGGTGGTGGCAGGTGGTGGTGGCGAAAGACGGTGGTGGAAAATGGTGGCGGGGGGTGGCTAATGTTGGGTGATAAAAAAAAAAAACTCAAAACGGAAACATATTTTTTGTGTTTTTATTTTTTGGCTAAATTTATAAACTGAGACTACTAATTTATAAATCAAAAATTTTACTAAACAAGTTTTTATTTGAGTTTTTTAAATTTTTATAAATATAAATAGAAAACTGAAAACGTAAGTGTTACCAAACGGCACCTAAGGTGTTGTGTAAAGTTTATAATTTTTTGTTCACAAAAAATGTTAAATTTATGTTTATTTTTAATAAAAAAATAAAAATAATATTATATTTGGTTTATACGTATTTTGAAAACTTGGGAGACAAGTGGCCACGGTAGAAGTTGGTGGTTGAAGGTGGATTGTCTAAAGTGAATTGTCAATAGACGGAGTTGATGGTTGGAGGTGTTGATGATAGGGGTGAGCAGCGGATATATCGATCCGCCAAAACCGATCGAAACGAATCGATCCGTTGCATTTTGGACGGATGCGTGATGACGAGCGGACGGTTGCGGATTGATTTTCTCCAATCCGCCAATTTGGCAGACGGATGGCGGATTTGAGCTTCCTTTGGCCGCAACCGAACCGTCAAACCGCGAGCACCCTTAGTTATAAAATTTTGTGTTTTCAATTTGTTTAAATATTTTATTTGTGTTTTCAATTGAAAAAGAGTTCAAATATTCTGTTGAAAAAAAGTTTTCAACTTGGATATATTTTTTGAATTGAAAAAAATAAACATATTATTTATCTATATTTTTTGGTTTTAAATCTAATTCTAAAAGTAATAAATAGAAAATATAACATATGTTGGTTGGTTTTTGTTTTCAAAAACATATATAAATGTAACAATACAGAGACATACAATCTCTACTATTGCTCTGCTCACGGTTTTGATGATTTGAATTGTTTTTATATTTTAAGAACCACAGATTGTAATATTTTATGTGGATGAGGCATGCTGTGATTGTAATATGTGGATGAGGCATGCAATGATTGTGATATTCTAAAGTTTCAAACTTTCTTTCTTTGAATGACGCATGTAGTAATTGTAATACTTTTTTAAGTCATTGACTGTAATACTTTTTTTTTTTTTTTTTTTTTTTTTTTTTTTTGAGAAGTGCACAAAGTTGAACTATGTTGAAAAATTTATAAAATTTCAAACCGCCAAACCGATTCGCATCCATCCGTCAAACCGCCAATCTGCTCAATCCAAATCCGTTGGATTGGCGGAACGGATGCGGATTGATTTTCTCCAATCCGCCAATCTGACGGACGGATGACGGATTGGAGGTTTCGTGGCCGCAACCGACCCGCGCCCACTCCTAGTTGATGACAAGAGGTGATGGATACAATCAGAGATGGTGGCGGGCCCCAAGAGATGTTGATCATAGGTGGAATTTGATAAATTTTGTCAACTAGTTATAACGTTTTAAAAATGAAAGTAGACACAAAATTAATTTTTATTTGCAATGTAAATTTTTTATAGTAAATATATATGGGTATCTAGTAATAAATTAGAGGTTTCATTTGGGAAGAATTTTTTTAACCTGATTTTTTTGGTTATTTTAATCTGGCTAATTTTTTTTTTCTTTGTTGCTTAGGATGAACTTTTTTTTTTTTTTTTTTTTTTTTTCTTTAACATATCAGAATTTCAGTCCAAAAATTAAAACATTCAATTTTGCGCAAAATCAGAAATCTATTTGGCGGGCCTTCTTATTTTCCTTGGCTTTTTGTAACGTTTGAGGTCAAACCGCCACTATAAAAAAATTTTTTTTTTTTTTTTTTTGAAAGCAAATAAAAGGAGTAATAGTGAGATGGTTGGTGGTTTCTAGTCGCGAAGCATGGTTGTTGATTGTGGAAAGCAGTAGCCAAATGTGATTGTTGGACATAGGAGGTGGTTACTATAGATGGTTGTTAAATGAGGCCACTTGCAAGGGTGACTGGGGATGGTGGTGGTTGATGGTGGTGTGATGAATAGTGAATGGTGGTAGAACAGAGTGTGAGAAGGGAAACGAAATGAGAACCTTTCTATTTTTTCTTTTTTCCTAAATCAGTGGAACCAACAGAAAACAAAAATAGATTCCAAAGTAGTATTTTTTTTATTTATAATTTTCAAAATTTTTATAATTATAAACATAAACATTAAGGTGTTAGGTATAGTTTACTATTTTTTGTTCACAAAAAAAAAACATTAAATTTATTTTTTTTTAATAAAAAAATAAAAATAAAAACATGTTTTGTATATACGTACTTTAAAATTTTATTTTGAAAGCTTGTGGGACAAGTGACCGGCAGAATGTAGTGGTTGAAAGTGTATTGTCAATAGACAGAGTTGATCGTTGGAGGTTTTGACGATAAGAGGTGGTAAATACAGTCAAATATGACAGCCGACCGCTAGAGATGTTGATTAAAGGTCGAATTTAATAAATTTTGTCAATTGATTAAAACGCTTTAAAAATGAAAGTAAACACTAAGTGGTGTTTTGAAAAGTTGGTATAAAGTTGATTTTTTTGGTTTATTTTATTTTTTTGTGGGTAAAAAAATATGAGAGGTGATGTGACCAAAAATGAGGAAAAAATTAAAAATTGACTTTTTATTTAATTGCCAAAGCACCCATAAATAAACTTTTATTTGCAATGTAAAATTTTTATAGTAATGCAGTATCAAACATATCCTAAACATTTTTAAGCCCCGTTTGGGATGAGTGTTTAGGCTAAAATAAGAGGTGTTTGGCAAGTTCGATTTTAGTATTTTTGGGGTTCAAATTCATAAAAAGACAAAATAGACTAAAATAACTAATAAGACAAAATGTCATATTAAATTTATAATCATTTTACATTTTCTCTCACAAATATCACATCTCAAACAAACTAGAAGTGCTTTAAGACAATTTTGTGTGTGTGCGCGCGCGCGCGTCTGTCTTTACTTATGTGGAATCTCACATGAGACTTCCTTCCATGTTTCCTCCTTGTTTTCCTCTCTTGTTCTATTGGTTTGAAAATTATTGTAAGGTGTTCAAATGCAAGTCCATGCTTGTTAGGTGTGGTGTGGAACATTAGACACATTACATTTATTAGACTAAGGGACAAAAAGGAACAATTTGATAGGTTGGTGGGAACAAAAAAGGAAACGTGTCTAATCTTATTATCTCATTATCATTTTTGCATGAAGCTTGCACATTGTTTCAAAAATTCCCAAAGCTAAAATAAGAAAAATTTTAAGTACGTTGAATTTAATTGTAAAATCAGATATAACTTTCTTATATAAGATGAACTTACACAATAATTTTGTCCGATTGTATTGTATAATTAGATTACGTGTGAAGGAGTTGTTAAAATAAACTTTTGACAAGTGTTGAATATATATATATATATATATATATTCCCAAAATCCTTAGGCCAATGTGCAGGCCATGAGATGGGCAACTTGTTTGTTATTCTGTTTGTTTGTGTTTTTTTATTTGTTTCATAAGTCAGTTATGGCTGTTGTTGGGTGCAATTATTTTGGATGTACCAATGAGTATGTTGCCACCTGGACTAGTTAGGAATTTGGATTCTTACTCTGTTAAATTTAGAAGTAACTTCACATCAGTGTAGGTTTAGAATAATATTTTCAGATTAATGATAAATTTTATAAATATTAAAAAATAAAATTATATTTTTTTATTAATTTGTAATTAAATTTTAAAAATACATTTGACCAGTAATTTCTTGTTAAATTTATGTCAAATGTTTAAAATGTTATTTGACAGTTAAATTGGGTACTAGTACTATATATATATATATATATATATATATTTGGTTTTATTTGGATCTTAAATCTAGCGAGTAACTTAGAAGTAAAAAAAAAGAAAAAGAAAAATGTGAATGAAATATTTGTTATTTTTTTCTTCCATTTTCTTTTGAAAAAATTAGTTTAAGGTCCCTCTCTCATATTTAGTAATGGAAGAGATCCACAATATTATTTTATGATGTCTAAGGTCCCTCAACCTCCACGCTCATATATCACAGAAAAATTTCTTAAATAAAATCTCATTTTTTTCCATCTCTCTAAACTCTCTTCCTCTGCTAAATTCACCTCTTCTCCTCTCTTTCTCATTTCCTCGTCTTCCAGATCGTCCTTATTCCCACCACGAAGACTTCCAGATCGTCCCCATTCCCACCACTACCGCCATGCCCATGCTCGTCTCCAGTCGCTGCTTTTCTCGTCGAAAACTTCTAAATCGAATTCGGAGTTATGGTAGTGGTGGTCCAACTCCATTATCATCATGGTCATATAGTGGGGATTCCAGACCTGCTGAAGGTATACATTGGAATTTGAGTTTTCATTATACTAGCTTATGTTTTATGTTTAACAGTTTTTGGGTCTTAGTGTGATTGTGGTTTTATTCTTTTTCAATTACAAGATTTTTCTCAACTTCTGTCTTTAAGTAATGATTGAAAATATCATAATGGCAACTAAACAAAGGAGACAACCTTACACGAGCTGGGGACATAGATTTAGCAAAGAAAGTGTTTGATGAAATGCCAAGGAGAGAATGTCTAAGGTCTTTCAAATTAATCGAGAGAAATTTCAATTCAAACCAGAGAATTTCTCTGGACCAAACTAGAGAAAATTCAGTCCAAACCAGAGAATTTCTCTAGATTTTCTGGACCAAACCAGAGAAAATTCAGTCCAAACCAGAGAATTTCTCTGGACCAACCTAGAGAAAATTAAGTTCAACCCAGAGAAAATTAAGTCCAAACCAAAGAATTTCTCTAGACCAACCCAATTTCTCTGAAGCAGAGCACTAGTCCTCATTGTTGTCCAGAGAAATTTCTAATTTTCTCTGTGATTTGTCCAGAGAAATTCTTTGGATCGAATTTTCTCTGAATCGATGTTGAAGGACCTTAGACATTATGAAAATATTAAGTGTCCTTTATGCTATAAAATCTTAATACCAAGGACCTTAAAAAAAAAAAAATCCCCTTTTCTTTTCCTTGCAAAATTCTAGCCCCAAATTCAAAATCCAAATATAAGTAAAGTTAGAAGAAAAATACATGAAAATGAACCGATTGCTAAAAATCGTTCAAAATTCAATTTTTCATCAATTTTTTTATAACCTACAAATTAATTCATTTTTTTAATCATACCAACCGAACCAATTGAAATATTATATTTAAATTTAAATATATTTATATTTTAATTTTGTGAGCATTATTACAAGATAAGTGAACAATGATATGTATAAGTTTTCTAATAACGGTTAGAAAGGGAGGTATTTATAGAACAACTTCTACGATTTCGCTTCATTTATTTCAATAGTGGGATTTTACATGTATGTATAAAATCCGTTAATGGCTTAGGTAAATCCCTCTTTTATACTAAATTGAAAAAACCGAGCTATATCATGTAGTTGGTTTCAAGTCCTCAACCAACAAAATTGAAGGATTCAATTCGATACTCAATTTTCTCTCAATCCCAATTGAACAGAACTGAACTAGATCAAACAATTTACACCCCTACTTATGAGATGCACCAATTGGAGTTAGTTTCACTCATTCACTCCCACCCAAAATCTCCATGTCTTGAACCAAATCTCCCAACCCTTGGAAAAAATCATCATCTTGAACCTTCTTTTCTTTGATTTTAACACTCAATTTTCTAGTTTCCTTCAAGACTCCCTCTAACAAGAGACTTCTCCAAAACAATGCTGTATCCTCTTCATCTTCTTCTTCTTCTCCCTCTGTTTTTCGATCCGATGAGGACTGAAATTCACCCTCCAATGGCTCCAAATTCATGGCTGATTGGGTCTCTAAGCTGCTTGTGGTCTTGCTATCTGATGTAGATGCCTTCTTGCTCAAGCAAGAGTTCCAATAATTTTTAATGTCATTTGCTGTTCTTCCTGGTATTCTTCCTGCAATTAGAGACCATCTGCACCCATTCAAGCAGATTTAATGGTTTAGAATATTCTCATTAAGCTTCTAAAGCACTAGAAAAATTAAAAAGTATATATATATATATATATATATATATTTTTGATTTTTCAACTAACTTTACAGTGTGGCTAAGGTAGATATTTTGATGAAAAATGAATTTACCAAATGAATTAAAAAAAAAAATCAATTAATTAATTTTTTAAATCACAGCTAAATGAAACTTTTAAGGCCAGACCCATTTTAGCCCAGACCTTGGACAATAAATTGCTTTATAGGACCATATAGCAAGTACTGTATATCTAATGTTTGGTAGGTAACACATGATAAGAGTACTCAATTCATAGCAATAATTGTTCTCTAATGTTCTGTACTATGAATATCCATGGAATTATGAAGTGGACCACCGTTGTTGGGAAATTCACTGTTTTCTTTTAAAAGGGGTCGACTTCATAATTATGAAGTGGACCAATGTTTTGAAATCGAATTGAACGGCTTATTCGATCGGGTTGAATTATTGATTGGTCTAGAGTCCAGTTTGGATATACCTTTTAATTCGTTTTCTCTTAAAAACTGGTCATTTAAAGTTAAATAGATGCAAACCACAGTTAAATTGTTAAATTGAATGAAGCGGCCCGTGTTGAAGCAAACCGGACCAGTTTGTTATGTTTGGTCCAATATTGAAACAGTTGATGCTAAAAGAACTTGAACCCAACATCTCAAACTCCAAAGAGAATAAATTTTCACTCTGCCATCATGGTTCTTTGTTAATACACAGGAAATCACTCTATTTGGTTTTAGTTTTTAGAATTTACTTTTAGAAAATTTTACTTTTTACTTTTTCGTTTTTCGTTTTTTTTTTATTTTCACTGAATTTTTTTAATTTTTTAAGCAATTTTTTAAATTTTTATACACACATAATATAAATGCACTTAAAAAGTATAATATTTTTTAAAAAAATTTATAAATAATTTATAAAATATCAAAAATGTAATATATATATATATGTATATTTTAAATGAATGTATTTTATTTATTTTAAATTATAAAAATATTCATATTTGATTTTGATTTGACCTGTCAATTGAACCAATGTCTTGTCTATCCAAATTCTTTATGCATTGGGCCAATTTTTAAAACATTGAATGAAAGAACAAAACAAAGTGCCATGTTTGAAAACATAGCAAAAATTCACATTTTTAGATAAAATGTTTAAAAACATAAGTGTCAAAAACGTTAGAAAATTGGTTTGATAAGTGTTAAAATATAGTTATATAATTATAAATTAGGGCCTATGAAATTTTTTTTTTTTTTTTTTCTTTATGTTGGGTTAGGATATTTTGGTATATTTTGGTCATTTTAATTTGATTTAACACCATAAATAAATATTAAACTAAAAGCAAAAAGTCAACTTTTTATCAACTTCTCAAATCACATTTTAAAAAACTAAAAAACTTGATAAAAATTTAAAAATTAATTTTTTACCAACTTTCCAAAACAAGTGAGACAAGTTAAAAGGTTGTTTGGATTCCTTTATCTAGCTAATGAATGCGGATGGTTACATATCACTGACATGTTTATGGATTTTTCTTTTTCTATTTTTGTGTGTTTTTTCATGTGATATTGGATACTATTCTTTTTGTTGTAGAATTTTTTTTTATTTTAAAAATGGTGAGTAAAAAATAATTTTTAAGTGATAGAGGTATAAAATTTACTTGCAGAATTTTATACATAAATCCTTTGTACTCCCATTACTTTGAAATTGTTTTTCTTATCTCTGGTATTTTGATTTTTTTCCTTCTTTTTTGTTTATTTAAAAAAACTTTGAGTTTTAGGTGCATGTTGGAGCATGTTTGTAGGGCTGAGCAAGGAATCCGTGAAATCCGTAATCCGATCCAGTCCAGTCCAATCCGATAGGTTTGGATTGGTTTTTTGAATCCGTGGTTCGGTTCCGGATTGAAAAATTAAAAATCCGTAGTACACGGATTGGTTCCGGATTGAATCCCACGGTTCCGGATTGGAACCGATCCGTACCGTATACAAATAGTATATATTTTTATTATACATCCTCCCCCATAGTATCTTCTCTTATTCTATATAAAATCTAAACTCAAACCTAAAACCGTATAATATCTTCTTTTATTACTTTTGTTTGTTAGTTTTTAGTTTTAATTTGTAATGGTCTAAATACTTGTGGTGAAACCAGTTTTCTTATGGTTGTTTAAATTCTAGCACAGTATGTCACTATTATAGAAATAGATGTTGCTATTGTGGAACTAATATAACGCTATGTTTATATTTTTATGAAATTAAAGTGTTATATATATTTTTTTGTTATTTAATTATGTGAATCCGTGGTCCTAAACCGATCCAATCCGTATTTAAATGGATTGGTTCAGATTGGTTCCATGATTTAAACGGATTGGATTGGTTCTAATTTTTCAAGAACCGTAGATAACGGATTGGTCCTGATTTTACCCCAATCCGGTCCAATCCGAACCATGCTCACCCCTACATGTTTGTAGGTAAAGCTTCACATCAAATAAAGAGTAAATGAGATAAATTTTAATGTATATGGACTTTCCTCTTATTGGTATGAGCTTTAAATGATGTATGTTAGCCGTGTGAACTTCAGAGTTTCTTTCAAACGGATTGGATCAATGTTGTTGCTCATTCTTGGTATCAAAACTGATGGATGGAGTTTGATAGCTCACGATAGTTAGTGACCGGAGTTGAACTCGTTGTTAGAAAAGACACAAAAAAGGGGTAGGGAGATTTTTGGCTTATGAGAAAAGATAAAATTTCAAAAATTATCATGAAATTTGCTAAAAAACTTAAAGCTCCGTTTGGCAAGTTGGTTTGTGGTTATTTTAGCTATAAAAGACAAAATAAGTTATTTTAGCAACAACAAACAAAACATCACATCCAACCCATAATCATAACACTCTTCTCTCACAAAAAAAAGTAAAAAAAAACTAAAAAGTCAAAAAATTCTCCCTAAACAAAGCTTTTTAGCTCAGGCTAAAAAAGCAAAAAAAATTAAAAACCAACCCATTTCTCAAACGGAAGCTAAAATGTATAGTGGAGATTAAAATTGATATGTTATGCATTATATCAACAATGAATTTAATCCATATAATTCAAATTTTGGACAAATTTATTTATTTTTTATTTTTTAAATTTAAAGCGTTTGTGGTATGAAGTATATGATTAACGAATTTGAAAAAGGTACATTACCTAATCTATTCATGGTAATCCAAATACATAATATAAACTCATTTTCTAAGTCTAGTGATGTGTCAATAAAATAATTGGTGATAATTAGAAAAAGATTTGACTTAGATAATTTAATAGAGTGACACATCATTGTGTCTAAAAAGTGAGTCTAATTTTTTGGATTGAATAACAGTCCTCTAACTTTAAATAACATAAATCTTAAGGGCAATGAGAATTTTTTTATTAGGAAAGTTTTTAATGTTAATATTATTCAACTGCGTTCAGTTTCATTAAAATTCATTATGAAAATAAAATTTTAAACATTATGAGCCTAAGTATTTTTTGTACTCTTAAATGACTCTCCTCCAAATTTTAAAAAACGACTAATATTTCTCAAAGAATGTTAGATTTTTGTACAGGAGTAAAGAAATCAGATTCTTACTTAATTTGAGAATGTGATTTTTGTTTCAAAAGGTAATTAAGAATTATTTTCTTATTTCAATCCATTTTAAACACTAAAACCTTAAAAATCCAAAATCATATTTTTTCATTCTTTTTCAGGATTCTTATCATTCAAAGGGAACTTATAGCAACATTACTGTCTCTCTCTATATGAATAAGTGGATTATATATAAGTATTTTTCTACTTGCCTGTTGCCCAAGAGTCTATGGAGTTTGATAATAAGATCATCCTCATCAACACCGAAGTCGCCGCGCTTGATGTTCGGTCTGAGATAGTTCAACCACCTCAATCTACAACTCTTCCGACAACGATTGAGTCCTGCACATAAGTAATTAACAATATACCCTTAATTAACTTGAAAGCAAAGAAAACAAAAACAAAAAACATGAACTAATAAAACAATACTCACTCAAGACAAAACAAGAAATGATCTAATAAAACAATACTAATAAAACAATACTCACTCAAGATTCTATTGTTAATAAAACAAAAAAATCCTTAATAAAAACAGTTTATCAGATTCTATTGTTTTATTAGTAACCCAAAAGAAGAAAAACAATGAAAGCAAAGAGTGGAATGGGAATGGGAATGGGAATGAGAATGAGAATGAGAATGAGAATGGAGTTTGATTTTTGCCTGATTTGGTAGGGATATGCTTCCAACTTCCTTTTCCAAACGTGTCGACATATTTTCTGAGCAACCGGTCTTCTTCCTCAGTCCAACACCCCTTTCTAAGTCCATTTGTTGTAGGATGACTCATTTCCTTTGTTTTTTGTTTTCTTTATTTCATTCCCCCCTCAACAATATATGCATGCATAAACTTCATATATATATATATATATATATATTTAATTTTTTTTATTAAAAAAAATTATTTGTTTTTTTTCATAGTTTATTTAGCCAACAAAAAACAAATTTTCCATTTGATCCCATGGATTTCTCCGAGCAAGAAAAAGTACATTTGAAATATCAGTTGGAAAACTATAAGCTTGATATTTCCATACTTCCCGAGTTTCAGAAGTTGTCAACCATTTCTGAGTTATGTCAATTGTTGGCAAAAACAAAAAAGTTGACAAGTTATCCTCTTATTGATAGATTGATCCGCCTTGTGTTGACTTTACCTGTTTCAACTGCTACATCAGAACGTGCATTTTCAGCTATGAAACTCATTAAGTCCAAATTGCGCAATAGGATAGAAGATGGTTTTCTGGCTAGTTACTTGATTACACACATTGAAAAAGACATTGATCAAGGGTTTGATGTAGATTCTATCATCCATGCTTTTGATATTATGAAAAAGCGTCAAGTTCAATTGCTAAATTACAGATACCCCCCTGAGGTTTCGGAAATTACATCCCGCCCCCTGAGGTTTGTATTTTTATAACAATTTGCCCCCTGAGGTTTATATTTCATAACAAATTACCTCCTAATTTCTTATGCAAATATAGCATTCAGGGGGGAATTCGTAATTTCTCAAACCTCAGGGGGGCATTTGTAATTTAGCCAAACCTCGAGGGGTGTATATGATTATGAGTTGGATTTGATGTTTTGTTTTTTGTGGCTATTTTAGCCAAAAAAGCCTGGCTTTTTTCTTCCCAAACGGATCCTAAGTAAATTTTTTATTTTTTTACGAAAAAAGGTATAGAAAAATAAAAACGTGATGTGATAAAAAAAAGATAAAAAAATAAAAAGATAAATTATTTTAGAATTATCAAACTTGGCATAAATCACCAAATCATTTTAATAACTAGCACACAAACGCATGCAAAACTTGTTGCGTAAGATAGTAAAATAAGCTATGGTTCAAAAGAAAAATGTTTGGGAGCACTAATTAGTGCTCCCACTAATTAAGTGGCAGTGAGTCCCGTCATTAATGATGTGATGTTTTGGTTTTAGAGTTGTATTTTTTTTTTTTTTACTTTTTTAATGCATTAGTACTATTAGTGATGATATTTTTAGTGAGATGAATCATTGTTGGTTCAAAATTGTTTGGTGGGTGAGAAAAGATCTAATAAAACAATACTCACTCAAGATGTTGTATGATCAGAAATGATCTCTCAATTGAAATTTAAAGTGGCCAACAGTTTTTAATAATAAGTGAATAAATAAAATTAAAAATGGTGGACCAAACCTTCAAACCCTAACAGTCATTCTAATAAGCCACGCGGCCATGCCTACTCTTGATTTTTTTTCTTTGGCTCTGACTCTTAGCTAACAAAAACATCAGTATCAATGATTTCTCTCTATTGCTGTCTCGGGTTGTTTTGGAATGTTCTAAATAAATATATTTTTTGATTTTTTATGAAATATGGGTTGGGTATAGATTGAGTTTGAAGTGATGTGATAGAGAGGTGATGTGACTTAAATAAAATGATGTGACTTAAATAGAATAGTGACTTTTTGACGTTTTAAATTTTTTTGAAGATGTCAAACTTAACCTCACTCTCACTGGCATGTTTGTGGAATCATATTTGAGTGATCTTAATTATCACATCATGGTATCCAGGTTTAGTGTCTAGAATATTATTGCCCACAATTGTAATGTATAGTAGAGATTGATGTTTCGTCGAGTTCATATGTAAAATGAATAAATAAAATTCTAATAAAATTGAAAATAAACAAATGTGAAAAAAAAGAAGTTGAACCTACACATGGACCCACATGTGTGGACTTCACTTCTTTGTCACATATTGTGATTGGTTCTGTAAGAATTTTATGTACACCTAACATATCTGGTAGAATAAATTTGGATCGTATGTTGAAAATTTTTAATAGAATTCGGAGTAAATTTTCTGAGTTGGTTGTGTTCCAGTTATCACATTCGCAAACAGGGGGAGCCTAGTGGGATATCAAAAAAATAAAAATAAATAATTAAGTTCATAATTATATTTATGAGTGAAATATACTTTATACCCTTACATTTTAGAAAGAAAAGAGAATCTTTGACTTTTTGGTATAGGTTGTTAGCTTTTTGACTAATTTAGTAACTTTTTGGCTAATTGGTTAAAATAGTCTCTTGCCAAACGAGGCCTTAATCTCATTTTATCCCTTGACTTTTTAATTGTCTTAATATAAATTTCAAGTCAAGTTAAAGTTGAATCCAGTTATATAACGACATTTCAAAAATTGATTGATAGATTAAAGTAGGGAGACCAATGTAAAATCTTAGTAAAAATATAAGGATGTTAAGGATTCAAGTGGGATTTTGATAAAAATGTATAGGTCCTAAGTGTAATTACCATCAGCCGACTATTCTCTGTTACTTTTTGAAACAACATTATACAAATGGATTTAATTGCAACTTGAATCAAAATTTGAGACTGAGACAATTAAAAAGCCAAGGTAAAATGCAATTTGATATAAAGTATAGGGATGTATTGTGAAATTTACTCTATATTTAGTGTCCATGTATTTTTGTTAAAATTTCATTTTGATTTTTTTTATTTTCAATTGCTAAAATCAACACTTTTAACTCAAGTTATAATACCATTTTTTTGTTACTTGACTTTAATAAGATTGACGGCATGTTAGCCATGAAAATGTTTTTCTCAGGTTATATCCTTACATTTTTTATCAAAATCTCATTTTAGTCCTCGCATTTTCACCAAAATCTTATTTTGATTCTTTTAGTTTTAGTTTCCCAAAATCTCACCAAAATCTTATTTTGATTCTTTTAGTTTTAGTTTCCCAAAATCTCATTAACAATAGTTATTCAGACAGGACAATTATTGGGAACTCTTAGAGCACTATGTTGCATTGTCTATATGGTGATCCAAACCAATGACATAGCGAAAATTCTTACAAGTGGGACATGGGATTGTATTGGCATTTGTTAGATAGTTGAGAGAAAATGAGTGACTCACTTAGCATAGGTTGCGGTTTCTCATCCGTTAGGAGCACAATGTAGCCAACGCTCACTACAAGAAATGTCACTTTCGGCTATTAAAATATTGGTCGCCAAAAGTGCGATATTTGGTCGCTGAAACGATTTAGCGACCAAAATATTTGGTCGGCAACTTCGTCGCCTATACCCTGTCGGTGATAGTATTGGCGACTAAATTTTTTTTGGTCGCCGAAAGTGATACACTTGGCTACTAAATTTGATTTTGTCGGCAAATGTTACCTTTCCGCCACTAAAAGGTTTAGTCGCCGAATGTGACTTTTCGCTACTAACGTTCGTGTGGTCGGGGAAGTTGTTCCCTTTTGCTACTAAAGAATTGGTCACCGAAAGTGAACATTTGGCTACGAAACCTTAGTTAATCGGCAAATGTGACATTTCGGCGACTAAATTTTTAGTCACTAAAAGTTATACCGTGAAATTTTGACCAGTTAGTAGAGACCAAATATTTTGGTCACCAATAGAATACATATTTTTAGCACCCATGTAATTTTGTCGTTGTCACTTTTGCCGACTACAATTGATCGTAGCCAAAAACCTCTTAAGTGTCAGTTCATTACTTTTTGCCACCAAAAGTTTTAGTCACCAAATGATGCCCTTTTCTTTCCGTGACTAAAAAATTTAGTGGCCAATAGTGAAGTTCTCTCATTCTCAATTTGTTTAGCTACTAACTATTTGGTCGGAAAAACTTTTTTGGTTATGTTTTTGCTACTAAATTATTAGTCGCCAAAACATTTGATCATGTATTTGGCTACCAAAATATTTGGTGGCCAAATACTTTTTTGTTTTTTTTTTTAGAAAAAGTTGTTGCTAAACAACCTGTATCCATTATTAGTACAACTTGTACCTTGTATAAATAATATAATCCATCAACGCTAAATATATTATCAACCATTCAAGCATTCAACAACGTGCACACATTTCAGTTCTAACCATCCAACAAATTAATATTGAACGTCCAATTCAATATATAATACAAATTCCATACGAACCAAGTACAATCCAACGTCAATAATTTAATTCCATACATAACCAAATTAATTAACAAAAAGAACATATGTACCACAACAAAAATTTAATCTATACTGCGCCAAAACTATTTTGTACCACATGCTATGCTAATTTCTACCATGCCACCTTGGTTGATGTGTACCACACCCAAAAATTAATTTGTACGCACCACTATATATACGGACAGAGGTATAAAAACAATGCCCTCTCGTACTTGTCAAAAAAAATCATATCCACATTTGTATGTCCAAAACCATCTGCCAAAAAAAAAAAAAAAAAAAAATTCATTAGATTGGTGCCTATGGAGTCACTTCTGGACGACATACATCAACTGTATTAAGTTGAAACATTAAAAGACAAGGAGAGTAATAGCTATTAACTAATGAAAGACACCCAAACATGGACTGGAAGACGAGCATCGATTCTATGAATTACTGCCAAAGTTATGTTTATGGCAAGTAAAAGGGCCACAGTCAACAAAAGCACTAAACAATTTACCAAAAATATTGTTCTACATAAGCTAATAAGGAAATAGTTAAACAAACTATAGTTTAAGATGGTATTACCAAAATAGTTACCCACGACATGGGCATTTCATTTTCTACCACATAAACACATTGTCGCCCCGCAAACGCCTTTTCCCGACTAAGTGTATGACATATTCAACTTTAACTCCCAACATAGGTGTCCTTTTTATGTACCGTCTGTCCCTACATGTCACATTTGGACCCGGGAAGTTGCCCGTTACGTTAAAACAATGGTTCGGGTGATGTTTGCATTCCCCCTCAACCCCTTCTTTCAACTAAATTAATGACATTTTCAACTCTAACTCCCAACGTACGTGTCCTATTTACGTACCGTCTATCCCTACATGTCACATTTGGCACCGG